TCAAGTTCGATTATATGTCATCTCCGGGCAAAAACTAGGTCACAGGTGCTAAAGATAGAGAAATCTTGTTAACACTCTGTTTGCTGCAGTTTTGATTCAAATATCCTGAGCGATCTAGGGCCATCTTGGCTCTCTTGTTTCATTGACCTGAAATGCAGTGCTTAAGAATCCATCACAGAGTCCTCCATTTGATCTGTCAGTGTAAAACTTTTCCATAGTATATTTAGCTCACCTGTCACAAAAAGGCATCGTGAGCTTTGTGATCGCTTTTCGTCCGGTGTCCATTTGTCCGTAAACTTTACTTTAAACAACTCTCCTCATAAACCCCTAAGCTAATTTCATCCAAACTTCACAGGAATGTTTCTTTGGTAGTCAACTTTAAAAAATGTTCAAAGATTTTTAATTCCAAGCAGAACTTGTGTTGCCATGGCAACCGAAAGAAAAAACTTGAAATATCTTCTTTTAGAAAACCGTAAGAACTAGAGCTTAAATATTTGGCATGAAACATCATCTAGTCAGTGTCTACCAAGTTTGTTCAAATAAATGCCCTAGGGTCAATATTGGCCCCGCCCGGGGCCGGGGGGAAGGTCATTGATTTTCCTTATTTGTATTTCTATACAAAAGTTCTATACAAAAGTGTGTATTGTTCTTCTTTTAAAAAACCAAAAGAGCTAGAACTTAAATATTAAGCATGAAACATCTTCTAGTGGGTGTTGATCAAGTTTGTTCAAATAAAAGCCCTGGAGTCAAAATTGGCCTTACACCAGGGGGTCATTTTTTTTCCCTTCCTATATATAGTAAAAACTTAAAAAATCTTCTTTTAAAAAACCTTTAGAGCTAAGATATTTGGCATGAAACATCTTCTAATGGGTGTCTACTATTATTTATTCAAATAAGGGCCCTGGGGTTAAAATTGGCCCCGCCACGAGGATTATTGATTTTCCTTATATATATATATAGTATTAACTTAAAAAATCTTTTGTTAAAAAACCCAAAGAGCAAGAGTTTAGTTATTAAGCATGAATTATCTTCAAGAGGAGGGGGGGAGGGGGGTCATTGTTTTTCCCTATATGTATATAGTAAAAACTTCTTAGAGCTAGAGCTTAGATATTTATCATGAATCATCTTCAAATGGGTGTCTACCAAGTTTGTTCAAATAAAAGCCCCTGGGTTAAAATTGGCCCCGCCACGGGGGCATATATACAGGTGAGCGATTTCAGGGCCATCATGGCCTTTTTGTTATTTTTAGCTCACCTGAGCATATGCTCAGGGTGAGCTATTAGGATCACTCTTCGTCTGTCATCCGTCTTCCGTTGTCCGTTCACACTTTTCAAACGACATCTCCTCTGAAACCATAAGGCAGATCATAATGAAACTTCACAGGGATGTTCCTTGTGTGAAGCCTTTACAAAGTTGTTCAAAGAATTCCATTCCATGCAGAACTCTGGTTGCCACGGCAGCCAAAAGAAAAAACTTAAAACATCTTCTTCTAAAAAAGAGCTAGAGCTTAGATATTTGGCATGAAACATTTCTAGTGAGTGTCTACCAAGTTTGTTCAAATAAAAACCCTGGGGTCAAAATCGGCCACGCCCCAGGGTGTCATTGATTTTCCCTTTATGCATATAGTAAAAACTTTAAAAAATTTCTTTTAAAGAACCCAAAGAGCTAGAGCTAAGATATTTAGCATGAAACATGTTCTAATGGGTGTCTACCAAGTTTGTTCAAATAAAAGCCCTAGGGTCAAAATTGGCCCCGCCCCAGGGGGTCATTTATTTTCCCTATATGCATATAGTAAAAACTTTAAAAAAATTTTCTTCTAAAAAAACCCAAAGACCTAGAGCTTAGATATTTAGCATGAAACATCTTCTAATGTGTGTCTACCAAGTTTGTTCAAATAAAAGCCCTGGGATCAAAATTGGCCCCGCCCAAGGGGGTCATTGATTTTCCCTATATGCATATAGTAAAAACTTAAAAAATCTTCTTCTACAAAACCCAAAGAGCTAGAGCTTAGATATTTGGCATGAAACATGTTCTAATGGATGTCTACCAAGTTTGTTCAAATAAGAGCCCTGGGGTCAAAATTGGTCCGGCCCTGGGGGTCATTGATTTTCCTTATATGTGTATAGCAAAAACTTAAAAAATCTTCTTTGAAAAAAACCAAATAGCTAGATACTAAGCATGAAACATCTTCTAGTGAGTGTCTACCAAGTTTGTTCAAATAAAAGCCCTGGGGTCAAAATAGGCCCTGCCCCGGGGGTCATTCCTTTTCCTTAAATGTGTTTTACAATAACTTTAAAAAATCTTCTTTGAAAAAAACTCAAATAGCTAGAGTTTAGATATAAAGCATGAAGCATCTTCTAATGAGTGTCTACAAAGTTTGTTCAAATAAAAGCCCTGGGGTCAAAATTGGCCCCGCCCCGGCTGACATTGATTTTCCTTATATGTGTATAGCAAAAACCTAAAAGTCTTCTATAAAAAAACCCAATAGCTAGAGTTTAGATATTAAGCATGAAACATTTTCTAGTAAGTGTATATAAAGATTGTCCAAATAAAAGCCCTTGGGTCAAAACTGGCCCTGCCCTGGTGTCAATGTTTTTAAAGATCCTGTATGTTTTGTGATTGATATTGTTACTGTGTGTATCACACACTTGCAAAATATTATATATGTATATAATTAAGCAAATAAAACAATTTTCAAACATCCAAGAATATGTAAAATGTGTACTGCAAATATTAGTGCACATTATATTTTATCAATAAGTTACATGCATTCATTTCTTATTGGAAAATTTGACTTGGAATTTATAGAAAATAAATTTCTAATTACCTCCCTTTATTTACGCAAAATGTTAAATTGGGTAGTATCTTTATAGATAATGCTTATTTGAACTTACAAGATTGACAAATCTTAATTTGAGCGTCATATTTATGAAATAAAACCATGAAAAAAATGTGTTATTGGATCTTTAACTATATGTGTAAAGAAAAAAACTTGACCAGCTAGACCTTAGATGTTAAGCATGAAATATCTTCTAATGGGTGTCTACCAAGTTTGTTCAAATAAAAGCCCTGGGGTTTAAACTGGCCCCGCTCCGGGGGCCTATATACAGGTGAGCGACTTCAGGGCCATCATGGCCCTCTTGTTTGATAATATAACAGTTTTATTAATCCTTACAGTGATTTTTTTCCCTGTATTTTACAGCCGAATAAAGGCTGTTTCCCCTAGCCCTAAATAGGTATATTTCCCCCTAAAATGCTACTATTTTTCCCCTAAAATGCCCTTTGCAGATTTTTCACTAGAGCCATGACTTAACAGCAGCTGACTTATATCAGCTTAAGACAGAACGCTGTCCCTATAGATATCCTCTGCTTTGTATCATGGATGTTAAATTGAATTGAAATTGAATATTGTAAAATATGTGTAGTTAAACCATTCTCCGTTATTAGAATTTGATTTTCCCCTTTTCTGATTTATCGCGCTATATTTTCCCCTTCAGAAAGCCACAGGTTGTTTTCAAAATTGAAAAAAAAATCACTGCCTTATGTAACATAGTAATAGTCGATTCAAATGCCACATGAGTTAAAGGTACATGTACATTGGAAGAGCAGTGTTTAACTGTTTACAAATTTTCTTCTCTTTTTTTTTCGAAATTCCTTTACTGTATTATACATAATCATTTTAAAATCTAAAGTAGCCCCTTTTAACCTGCCCTTTACGGGCCTTTCCCCAGGAATTTTATAAGACACAGGGGCAAGTTTTGTCAGACTTGGGGGTGGATGTGGGATGGGGTAGGACCCCGTCACATTTCGAAAATTTTTGCTATTTTTATATGCTGAAAGAATTTAAGAATTATGTTCCATTTGGCCCACAATATTCAGACTTCATAGGATGATTGTCCATATTGGGTAGAAGACCCCTTTTGATGTTGGGGTCACAAGGTCAAGGTCACTATTACCTTAAAACTGAAAACAGTTTCAGGAGCATAACTTAAGTTCCATTTGGCCCACAATATTCAAACTTCATGGGACGATTGTCCATATTGGGTAGAAGACCCCTATTGATTATGGGGTCACAAGGTCAAGGGATCAGAAAAATCAAGGGCCCTCAGGTGACTTTAATTGCACTGCTGTGATATTGATTTAGAGGTTAAGGCACAGCGGTTGCACGGCACTAAAAGCGCCTGGAGAAAGGCCTGCTCTATTTCCAACCAATTTTAATAAAACAATGAGTATGTTTTTGTCACAAAATGTTTTCATATTTTAAAACAGCCCAGATGGCTTAAAATGAAACTCATGCATGAATAAATAAACCCCCTTTTCAAAGATTTCCAACCCTATTTCTCAAAACTTGCTAATGTATGGTTGTTTTCAACACTTTACCGGTTTAGGTCTACTAGATCTGGGCCAGCTAGTTTTGGGTCAGGGCAAGTAATTTGGAAAAGTACTTGCCCAACAGGACAACCAAATTAAAAAGTTAATGTCAAGGCCTGTTAAAGCTTAGATATTCTGCATGAAGCAGGCTTTGTTGACATTTGCAAAATTGATATAAATCATGCTCAATTAAGGGGTAAATATTGGCCCTGTCCCAGGGGTCACATAGATAGAAAAACTTATTTTCATGTATGTATTCTATTGTAAAGTTACAAATCCCAGATCTCAGTTATTTGGCATGAATCTGCTATCATTATGACTGTAGAAAAACCCTATAAATGTTCCAAGCAAAAGTTTTGGCATATATAATTGTCACCAAGTATTCATGTGAAAGGAGCATAGCTCTTTGGCATGTTTCAATATAGATCTTAATATTGATAATTGAAATAAAACATGACAAAGACAAATGTTATAAGTAGGTATCCAGTCTCTGTTTAAACATTATTTTTGATTACTTTAAATTTTCTTTTCTTAAAACAAATTGGCATTCGGGCGTATATTGTCACGCCTATGTGGTGATCCTCTTGTTTATATTGACTTATGTTTTATTTTTCAGGGTAGAAATGTTATTCTAGAGCAAAGCTGGGGAAGTCCTAAGATTACAAAAGATGGAGTTACAGTTGCTAAAGGCATTGATTTACAAGATAAATATCAGAACATTGGTGCAAAACTAGTTCAAGATGTAGCAAACAATACAAATGAAGAAGCAGGAGATGGGACCACATCCGCAACTGTCCTTGCACGTGCTATTGCCAAAGAAGGCTTTGACAAGATAAGCAAAGGCGCTAATCCAATTGAAATTAGGAAAGGTACACATTATTGAAAGGATTTGTGATGATAAGATTTTTATGCCCCCACAAAGTGGGAGCAGATAGCGTTGCACTTGTCTGTCAGTCCGTATGTCTGTCCGTCCGTACGTCAAAATCTTGTGAACGCAACTCCTCCTAATCCGGATGGCAGATTTTGCTGAAACTTTCAGGGATGAACAACCTTAATGTGTAGATGGTAGTAAAGGAAGGAATTTTCGCTGCGACCAAATTTAAAAGAATTACGGCCCTTTGTTGATTTTTTTCACTATATACTATGTAGAAATTTTGTGAACGCAACTCCTCTGAAACCTGATGGCAGATTTTGCTTAAATGTTCAGGGATGAACAACCTTAATGTGTAGATGGTAGTAAAGGAAGGAATTTTTGCTGCGACCAAATTTAACAGAATTATGGCCCTTTGTTGATTTTTTCACTATATACAGTGAAAGTTGAGAAAACCGGACGGCTTTCGGACCGAGGGTTTTGTCCGGTTTTCTCAGCGGTCCGGTATTCTTAATGTCCCCTTCAGCTATTCAGGATCCTATAAACCGAGCAATAACTTACAAAGGATGCTGAACGTATATTTGCATTTTCATGATCATGAGTAAGTATATTGCTTAATAAAGAAATGATAAAAATACTATACAATATGTTTTAATTGTTTTTGTCCCATTATTGCATATAAATACAATAAAATTTTGGATTTAAACGAACAGCAGTTACCTCATAACTATAAAGTCCGATTACACCGCATATGTTTACATTTGGGTAATGGATAATGATTTAACGAACATAGTTAACTTTGTTTGTTTATAATAATGCCCCAATTGTAAATATTGCCTATAGATACCATATTTGTCAGATAAAGATTTTTAAAGTAGGTCTCGGAAAAGTTTCACTGTCTTTAACTAATTTAAATTTGTCACTTATGGACAGCTCTCGTCGAATTCTTTTAGGCCATGGAATAGAACTTAGCGCTGATAAATGTCGTTTCCGTCGCGTTGTCATTTTGGGAAATGAATATACAAAAAGCAATGCAGTATAATAATATTTTATTTTTCATTCATACTGATTTTAACTTACAATTTCTCTTGCATTTTGGCATTTATATAAAACGGTAACATCTATACCTTACAATGAATCAAACTGTAAAACGAGACATAATTAACTAATCAGATAATCATTGTTCCGTTACCGCTCAGTTAGCGTATTAGACACAACCAATTGATAAGTACACAAGGTTATTCACACCTTCGTCGTCCGGTATTGTCAGGGTAATTGTCTATATAATGGACTTTGTAGTCCCCTTTCAACCGTCCGATATTCGGTTTTTACAGATTCCGGTATTGTCAATGTTTAATACAATAGTTTAAAGAAGGGAAAATTTGGGACTGAATTATTCGTCCGGTATTTAGAGAGTTCCGATTTTCTCAGCGTCCGGTTTTCTCAAGTTTCACTGTACTACAGTCTAACTTGCCCATGCGACCACGTGTATTAAGTGACTTTTGTCTTAAACGACCACTTTAAATTCCCCCTGATCATTTTCTCTCTATATCTTTAATGTATTAAGCGACTTTTGCTCAACGCGACCAGCGACCGCTAATTAGTCACCTAATTGACATCAATCTTTTCATTAAACGACCACTTTTACCTGTCCAGTAATTGTGTTTTTAGAGAACGCCACCTCGTTATGTCACAAGTGTCAACAATCAGAACACAACAATAAACGTGTGAAAAACTATTTCCCATACGGTTTTAGCGTATGCAAATGAAGTTAAGTATACGTGTGACGTGTATTATACAGTAATATCGGATAAACAATGCAACGCTCCGCCCATACTTAGATGGTGTATATGCTTCGCTTGTTGACATTTAGACTGCATTGAATTGACCTTGAACTTCAGCCATTAAATTAATCGTAACAAATAGATGCAGTTTGTTTATTTCAAATGAAAAAAATGCACAACAGAAAACATCTTCACTAATAGGGTTTTCGTGTTGGAGACAAGGAAAAACAACAGAGAAGTTAAAAAATTCTGGAAAAAATGTCAAACATGTACGTAATGGATCTTGAAACTGTTTTGTCAATAAATATCAGAAAGTTATTTTTTACATTTGCATCCATTTAGATTATCGGAGCGTACTTTTTTCAACATTTATATAAAAATGAAGTTGAAAAACTATCCCACGAATAAAAAAGATGTCATTTATAAATTTTGACTGACTGTCTTAAGAGACCGTTTCATTAAGCGACCGTTTTGGGTGTTTCCCTTGCCTGGTCGCTTAATACACGTTTGACTGTATGTAGAAATTTTGTGAACGCAACTCCTCTTAAACCAGATGGCAGATTTTGCTTAAACTTCCAGGGATGAACAACCTTAATGTGTAGATGGCAGTAAAGGAAGGAATTTTTGCTGCGACCAAATTTAACAAAATTATGGCCCTTTGTTGATTTCAACTTGTGATTTGATTTAAACATATTTTATTGCCAAAAATAAGACATATACATACATGTAGACAGTTACAATACAATGACATGACATATTTGGCAAAAGGGTTGACCCACAAGTTCTCTCAACATTTCAACTTGTGGCACATGTAGTCCAAAAAATATTTGACCTAGAGTCATAAGATTGACAGAACAGTGGCATGTGGGGGCATCCGTGTCCTATGGACACATTTCTAGTTTATTACTACCTTTATTTTAATTTTTGACAATTTGTTATATAACCTGTAGTACATTTTGTCTGAAACATTACATCTTTTTAAACAGTCTTTTGTACATTTAAGGTGTTATGATGGCTGTAGATGCAGTTGTTGATGAATTGAAAAAAATGTCCAAACAAGTGACAACACCTGAGGAAATTGCACAGGTGAGTTAGGCTTTACTTAGATTGTTGAGTTTAGATATAGTAGAAACTACAACAACCATGATAGGTTAGAAAGAAGAATTGAAACTTATTGCAGTCATAAATTTGATATACCCCAAATTTCAGCATATATAGTTATGCACCTGGTTGAACAGATGGAATGAAATTTAAACTACATGGCAGAAATGTAAACCATATTGACAATGTGTAGAGTGAAGGTTTAGCCTTTCTCAGATCAAGGTTAAGTTCACACTTAGTCTTGATGCAATGACGATGGATAGAAATATCTTCTCCAAAACTGCAAGGACTAGAGCTAAGGCCCACAAGAAATAGAATGTTTTTATGCCAAGGTTTTAAAATTACTTGGCACAAATGATCCGCACCATGACACAATCTACAGAGCACAACATCCAGGTTGCTACACCCAAGTTATATCCAGGTTGCTACCCCTGAGGCCAAGGTTATATGATCTCCATAACTTTTGACTTAATTGAAGATTTAAGAAAACTTGGAACAAATAATCACTATCATGAGACTATGTGCTTATGATGTGCATTGCACAACAACAAGGTCATGGTTGCTTAAAGGTCAAGATGTACAAATTCATGTCCGCTGCGGAATGGGATTTAGCTGTCCTTCAGACTGCCTTGTAGAAAAATTGTTACTGACGAGAATCTTGTTCTTGTTTTTTTAAAATTGAAGTAACATTAGTTCCACCAAATGAGTGCAAATGGTTAATTTTCATATCACACGCTGTGTAGAGTGATTATGAAATTATGGAATAGTTCTTTAGATGGTAAATTAAAAGTACAATGAGTAATAGAATACTGTGAAATCATGTGTATTCGTGGGCATGAAATTTCGTGGTTTTATCAAAACTAACATTTTTGTGGCTTCTTAAATTCCTGGATTTTTATTTTCTTGTAAAAAAAAAAAAGATAAACAATGGAAAGTAATCTTTCACTTAATCACCGCCCTGCTTTACTTACCTTGTGTATTTAACATAGCTCTTGTCAATAAATTTCATCCTTGCCTCTGGGAGTAATACAGTTACTGCCGATATTTGAAAGCAATTAACACATTTGTGTGACATGATATGCAGCTGCATTGGTAACAATGCCCCTATAATTCGCTAGGGGTGTAACAATACGGCAAAAACCGTATTGCAATATATTGCCATTTTGCCAAAGCTTATTGCAATACGTATTGTTGGGTATATGTTTTGATGTAAAGATGGAGTAACATTATATATTATTATTATTATTATATGTATATATTCTTAGTAGAAACTTAATAAAAATGTAAGGAATAAATAGAATGTAAAGTGTCACACAATTTGATAAACAAAACTAGTCGCGTGTGACCTTTCACATCTGGGCCGCTTATGTAAATTATACAGCCGCTTGTTTACTTTTAAGTGTTTACTAGTTGTCGGATATTTTTATCTTACGTTGGCGCCAACAAAATTCGCCAATTAAAGACTTAATGCGAAATTTGTACGAAATTAGAAGGCGATTAATTGAAAATTATGATTTTTATAAAATACCGGTTTTCCAAAAATCGCACCGCAGTACGAAATTTATTTTTATGCCACCGCAGCATCTGCGATGCGGTGGCATATAGCGATTCACCTGTGTGTTTGTATGTGTGTGTGTTATATAGATTATATAATGAACTTAAAAAATCTTCTTGTGAAAAACCACTAGTCCAATTTCAACCAAACTTGGCAGGATTGATCCTTGGGTAAAGGGCTTCCAAAGTTGTTCAAAGAATTTAATTTCATGCAGAAATCTGGTTGCCATGGCAACCAAAAGGAACTATAAGAATAAATTAAAAAATCTTGTAAAGACCCAATAGGCCCATCGTCGGATACCCACGGCCGAACCATTATCATTCATCAGCCGTGGGATTTTTTGCCGATATTCAGTCGAATAGAGGTGTGTCAAAGGCAGCTATTTCATTGGCTGCCTCACGATTTCATGAGGCGATTAAAACCAATCAAAACGCTCGTTCTGTACGACGTTCGGTATTACAGACAATATTGCGACAACCATAGACGACGTAAAAAGTTTAACATCGAAAAATTAAACGATTTCCAGCTAGAAAGTATAGATAATTTACTTTTACAGCGTGGTTTTTCCTTTATGATTGATATCTGCTTGCAGAAGAACAGATTTGGCGATAGTTTTTGCCAATGATTTTAGCAAGACACGTACAACAGTTTTTAACCGTGGGCGCTGCCATTTTTTTAATGTTTTTTAACTCCGCTGTTGAAGAATATAGATTTGTTAAACGCGATGTCATTGGTAGATATTTTACGCACCTGTTGCTGTATATCGACGCAAATCGATTCATTTTACCCACGGTTGATTGCATGTTATGTGACATGTTTATCAATCGTGGGTATCCGACGATGAATAGGCCTAGAGCTTAGATATTTTGCATAAGGCATTGTCTGGTAGACCTCTTCCAAGATTGTTCAAATTATAGCCCTGGGGTCAAAATCGGCCCTGCCCCGGGGGTCATTGATTAACCAGGTTTTCCGAAGGAAAAAACTGGTTATTAGATTGAGGTATGTCGGTGGGCGGACGGGCGGGCGGGCGTAAACAATTTCTTCTGTGCGCAACTCCTCCTACATTTCTCAACGGATTTTGACCAAACTTTCACAGAAGCTTTGTCATCAAGTGCCCTGGCGCATATTGTCGGGGTTTTGCGATTAGATAATATTTGACCTAATTATGGCCCTTTGTTTTTTTTCCTTATATAGAATATATAGTGAACAATTTCTTCTGTGCGCAACTCCTCCTACATTTCTCAACGGATTTTGACCAAACTTTCTCAGAAGCTTTGTCATCAAGTGCCCTGACACATATTGTCAGGGTTTTGCAATTGGTATATATTTGACCTAATTATGGCCCTTTGTTTTCTTTCATTATATAGAATATATAGTGAACAATTTCTTCTGTGCGCAACTCCTCCTACATTTCTCAATGGAATTTGACCAAACTTTCACAGAAGCTTTGTCATCAAGTGCCCTGGCGCATATTGTCGGGGTTTTGCGATTAGATAATATTTGACCTAATTATGGCCCTTTGTTTTTTTTCCTTATATAGAATATATAGTGAACAATTTCTACAGTGCGCAACTTCTCCTACATTTCTCAACGGATTTTGACCAAACTTTCACAGAAGCTTTGTCATCAAGTGCCCTAGCGCATATTGTCAGGGTTTTGTGATCGGATAATATTTGACCTTATTATGGCCCTTTGTTTTTTTTCCTTATACAGAATTGAACAAATTCTTCTGTGCTGAACTCTTCCTACATTTCTCAACAGATTTTGTTCAAACTTTCACAGAAGCTTTGTCATCAAGTGCCCTAGCACATATTGTCGGGGTTTTTTTGTGATTGGATAATTTTTTACCTAATTATGGCCCTTTGTTTTTTTTCCTTATACAGAATATATATAGCAGAGATCTGCCGAGAATTTGAAAGTACTGGGCCCTGGGCCCACTTGGTCTGAAAATGATGGGCCATTATGACCAAAGTACGGGCCTTGGGAAAATAAGTAAACATTGACCTAAATGACTGTTAAAAATTTTGTAGATAATTGAATTTCCTTTGTAATGGAACTTAAATCATATTTTATGACAAGTGGTTCACGTATGATTGAGAAGAGAACCAATAATTAAAAAAATGCCTAGACAGTAACTTTCTAACTAATATTAATTGCAGGCAAAAATTTTTTCAAATGGCTGCTCTGATTTGCATAATTTATCCACATAATTTCTAGTGTCTAATACTGTGCATTATCCATTTAATTGTTCTTACTTTGCACCAAATGTCCCTGGCACAATGTATAATGAAGGCTTTTATTACTCCCTGTATGCCTCTGTGTAGAAAGCCTACATCAAAGACACTTACCGACAGACTTTTTGATCATTGGAAAAGTCATGCATAATGTTTCCCTGATTGGTTTATCGCCCTGTCAAATATTCTGATGACGAAATAGACATATTTTTTTTACACTTCATCAGCCAAAGTGTGCGTGAACTTGAGTGACCTTAGGGGAATTCAAGATGTACACCTGTCAGATTATACTGTAACTTACAGCTTTTCTAAAAATAGCAACACTTTTTTTTTCAGTTACTGATAATCATTTTAAATATTAAGTAGTTGTATAATTTTTTTGTTTGTTTGTTTTATTGGATTAAATTTACGGTAGAAGAAATGAGTATCTGTGTGGGAAAGGGATTATGAAAAGAAATGCGGTAAGTAGATAAAGTGAACAAAAGATATAGGTGAATGGATAAACTCAAGAATATGCGTAATTACAGGGGAATGGGTAACTGTTGGTACCAGTTTTGACTGGATGGCTAAATAACCCAGCGGACAGTTTTGTTTTCATATAAGTCTGGCACAGATTTTAGATGCGCCCTTGGCCCTTTGCTGCCGATTTTCCTGCGCCATTCTCATTTTTTTAGCGCCAATGGCGCAAAATCGCGTCCTCGGCAGATCTCTGTATATAGTGAACACTTCTTCTGTGCGCAATTCCTCCTACATTATTCATGTTTTACATTGCACATAGTTACATTGTTTGTTGCTTGTATTTGTATTTCAAATACAACATATTTATCTACAATGGTGATAATTGAAAACCTGGTTTCATGGCATTGCTATGTTTCTTGTTTTCACTATATGTACATATAGTAAAAACTTAAAAAACCTTTTTGTAAAGACCCATAGGCCTAGAGCTTAGATATTTTGCATAAGGCATTGTATGGTAGACCCTTACCAAGATTGTTCAAATTATAGCCCTGGGGTCAAAATCAGCCCGACCCCGGGGGTCATAGATTTTCACTATATGTACATATAGTAAAAACTTTAAAAAAAAATCTTCTTGTAAAGACCCAAAAGGCCTAGAGCTTAGATATTTTGCATAAGGCATTGTCTCGTAGACCTCTACCCAGATTGTTCAAATTATAGCCCTGGGGTCAAAATCGGCCCCGCCCTGGGGGTCATTGATTTTCCTCATATTTACATAGTAAAAACTTATAGTAAAAACTTTAAAAAAAATTCTGCTAGCAATTGACAAATGCTAGAGGTTAGATATTTTGCATGAAACATTGTGAAGTGAACCTCTAGCAAGATTGTTCAAATAATAGCCCTGGGGTCAAAATTGCCCGCGCCCCAGGGTCATTGATTTTCAATATAATACATACAGCAAAAAATAAAAAAATCTTATTGTCTGAAGGTACAAGGCTTAGAGCTTTAATATTTGTTAAATGATATCATCTATAGGTACTCTACCAAAGTTGTTCAAATATTGCCTCTAGTGTCACCTTTGATGCAGCTGTGTGAAATAGAACCTTCACCACCAAATTCACTGACTCAAGTGCATTGATATATTCCTACTCTGATCTTTTATTGAGTAAACAATAGATTTAACCACTAATCTGATAATAGGAATTAGATATGTCAGGGATCTATGCATTATGACAATCTCAAATTGTATAGAAACAAAAAAAATATGTTCCTACACTACTATTTAGTGTTGTATTAATGCGGTGGCATAGCATTTTTCTCAAATGCAATCTTGTTTCATATTGCAATATATCGGTATACTGGTAAACCGTTACACCCTTATAATTTGCCAATGTAAACATCGCATAAATTATTTATCTGCCACTTTTTAACCAGCGAGTAAAAAAGTTTACACCCTGAATCGGTTGAAAACTACACACTACGTCACATTGACTGTGTAAATTTATATGTATATAAACACGGATTTATATTACAGGGATCGGACACTCCCAGTTAACCCTATATAAATGCTTTAATATCTTGTCGTGCGCCCGATAAAGGTACATCGATCGATAATTTACCGGCGCTAAGCGTAAATGTCCGTTTGCAACGGATACCTACTTTACAAAATACCATATAACTTTTCCATTTATTATCCGATTTTGGAAATTTAAAGTTTATGTTGAAGAAAAATATTTGTTTAATTCAAATATCTAATTTATTTTTTAAAGGTACAGTTTATCTGTCCGCAACGACGGTTAAGAAATTAACTTGACGAAATCCGCGGTAAATTTACATTTTTTATATAAAAAGCAGGTATTTGAAGTTTATTATTACGGTACCATAATACTTTCAGTTTCAAAATAAAAAGAAGCCGATGTAAGTTATTCACAGATGATCAAAGATGCAATATTTAAGATTTATTGGGTTATGTAGTCAAATTTATTAACGCACAATTGTTTTACGGGTAATGTATTGCGGCCTTTACACGTGAAGAAAATTTATTTATTTATTAGTACAAAATATTGCCGAGATTGTCAATATTGCCATATTCATAGAATATTTAAATTTCATTCATCATTTATATCATTATTATTTTTTGTAAATCTGTTTTCAAATGTCGGTGCAGTGAAGTAGACAATCATCGTAAAATCGTGTGGCTGTCTCGATTCGGGCCTTTTTAATGTCAGTCGTATATTTTAATCCGTATATTTTAATTATTCTTTTTATTTGAATGTCTACTTTTTAATGTAACGCTAGAAAAACAATAAAAATATTTACAGTTTGAGTCAGTATTTTGCGAAATAAAAGTAACTGTTGATTATTTTTTACACATCGCTTAAATTTCTTTCAAGTTTAATTACTTTTGAAGGGGGGGGGGGTTTAAGTGATAATTAAAAAACTTAATTTCCAAACTTTCATTACCAGGTTACATGTGATAATTGCAACACTCAATCTTCAAAAACAAATAGAATTTGAATGTATATTTTGTATATGCGCGTTCTTTAACTACAGTCCATGGCATATATGTGGTAAGAAAATGATTCTGAAGAGGATATATATAAATACAATGTAAATCTATTTTCTTTATTAACATTTATAAATGAAATTGAAAATATACAACTAAATTTGTATAGTCCTTTTTCTGAAAAATAATGAAAATAAACATGTGATAAATAAATCATTTGACGTGATTTGTTAAGGATAACCATGAAAAAAGTATGTGTCAAAATAAAAAATAATATTATAAAACAGCTGTTCTCTATGCCAATAAAAGTTTCTTCCTTGCCAATCTAATGAATTCATCTATAGGAATGCTTGTCTAGAATGGTCTGAAAATATATTTAATACACTTATTAGTGGAATATTTACTATATTTATACTAATATACAGGTAATCAAATAAAAAATGTACAAATCATTTGGAAATAATTCACAGAAATAAAGACACATTTCAAACATGAATTTCTTTAAAAGTTTTTTAGCAATCAAGAAACATTTTTTTGCAATGCCATCATTAAACCATGTAAAAAATAATTATCTTATTCTGAATCGCGGTAATAATTCGTGCTTGAAGTAAAAGGGCGGCGAAGTGTAGAGAGTATGCCTAAACAATAGGCGAGTATTTTTTAAATTAGGTATTTTTTAACTAAGCGTTGCAGCGTTCTATCAGCATATTTTCATATATTAATACTTTAGCGACACAAAATAATACTGCATCAATACATTCATATGTGTATAATTTTTCACAAAGCTGCAATAACACCACATACTCCGGTGAAAATCTGTCATATTTCGTACTCCGCGCGTTCCGCCATCTCATTCTGTCCACCTTTATCCGATTCCGCGCATGCGCGCGACGGGACTTTAAGCTAAACGAAAGTGTCCGATCCTTGTAATATAAATCCGTGATATAAATTAATACAAGTAAGTGGCTCAATACAGTTAGATATGTATGTGTGCATCTAGTAAAAAGACAGCGGCTTCTTTGATATTTTCTGAATAGCAGTCACACAAATACACATTGAAATTTATTTAAATGGATTATATCAACACTGTAAAGTTTTATTGGCGCTAATTAATGCACTCGGTTCCCACATTTACTCGATTATGTCACGTATTCTAGCTAACACAATCAAGTAGCCTACAAGGATCAAGTAGTCCCCCAGATGTTTATATGTGACGAACATTTGTGACAGCAAGCTGAAGACATACAATCGGTTTTTTTCAAGTTTCTTAAATATTGCAAAACTGAACTATGTATGAATTTAATTTGTCACTGACCTGATTATTAGTATACATTCATACCACAAAAAATCGGCCAAAAAAGCGCCGACGCATGCTGTGATATATGTAACAGAAACAAGGTAAGAAGTATTTGTTGAGATAAAATTTCGTCTGGTCCTATCCACGAAAACCAACGAAAATTCATGCCCCATGAATAATAATGATTTCACAGTAAAAAAGTGTTTTCTTCTTTCAGGTTGCAACAATCTCAGCAAATGGAGACAAATCAATTGGTAATCTAATCTCTGATGCTATGAAGAAAGTTGGCCGAGATGGTGTCATCACAGTTAAGGTATATAATGTTATAAATGTAAAATTATGTTGAACGTAAAAGATGTCAACCATTTTTTCACCAGTAATATTTTTAAATATTCAAACAAATGCTTCAATCTGTTCTGAAACATGACTTAAATAGGGACTGTCTTGTTGAGAAGTTTTTAGGTTCTTAGCTCACCTGTCACAAAGTGACATGGTGAGGTTTTGTGATGGCAATTTTTTCTGTGTCTGTACTTTGTCTGTCTGTTAACTTTTACTTTATACAACATCTCATAAACCACTGAGTCAATTTCATCCAAACTTTACAGGATTGTTCCATGAATGGTCACCTTTGAAAATTGTTCAAAGAATTGAATTCCAGGCAGAACTCTGGTTGCATTAGCAGCAGAAAGAAAAAAAAAACTTTTAAAAAATCCAAAGAGCTAGAGGTCAAAATTGGCCCTGCCCCAGGTCATTGATTTTCCTTATATAGTAAAAAGAAGATCTTCATCTAAAACGAAAAAGCTAGAGCTTAGATATTTAGCACGAAACCTCATTTTGTGGGTGTCTACTAAGTTTGTTCAAATGAAAGCCCTGTGGTCAAAATTGGCCCGTTCTAGGGAGTAAGGGTGTAACGGTATTCATGGTATACCGTACCGTTTTCACTCAGTACGGTTCACCGTACAGCAAATCACCCGTACAGGGCGGTACAGCATTTTTAACCATTTTCAAGGGGAGTAATTATTTCAATAAAAATTGCAGAAGATGAATTTAAATCAGGTTGAGTGTCTTTTTTTTCGCAAAAATATAGAACCATTTTCGGCTGAAACTGCCTTTTTGGAAACACTTTTGGCAAGCTGAAATTCATGAATAAATGATAATACGATATCTTGACACATATGCAAATAAAGCCCACATTGTTGAATCCAAAATATTGTCAAAACACTGCAATAGGCAGCTAGTTGTGTGAGTTATGGCCTACGCTATTTTGTTGGATATTTTCCATACCGTTTCATATTCATATTGTCAACCGATATATGTAACTGTTAGTAAATACGTTATAACCGTTATGAATGTGTTATAAGTGAGTAAAGTAAAATAATTTTTGTGTTCAGCTTATGCTCATTATTACACGTAGTCAACAAATTGTCTCATCCAGTTCATCTAAATGTTGAACATTTTAATTTTTCCTATTAAACTTCAGTTATTTATCCAAAATAGTTATCACCTTACATATGACAATACAAATGTGATGTTTCCATCACCATGTTACTTCTCAAAGCTTCAGAAAATATTAATTTGAATCTTTTAGCCTTTTACTTGAAATTTAACTATCAAAATGTCAAGAGAAAACATAATTTTAGCTTTGATATTTGTATGAAATATTGTCTGGTAGACATCTACAAAAATTGTTCAAATTATAGCCCTCGGGTCAAAATTGCCCCGCCATGGGGGAACATAGATTTTTCTTACATAAATGTAGTAAAAATAGGGATCATTCTGGTCAGGATTTTTAGTGAGAGATTTTCTCATTTGTCGAATTTTAATAAGAGAAATTAGATTTCCTTGAGAGATTTAATTTTCATGATGGGCGAGGTTAAAAATATGGAAATTTCTAACTTTTTAAAATAACTATATATGTAAACATTGTTTTTCAAATGAGGAAATAAAAAGATGCATTTATTTCAGTTATTTTTTTGTTCTCACTTTTTAACACATCCCATGCCCTTTCTTTAGTGAATTTTAAACATAAATTAAATTCTAATAGTGAAAAATATTTTACACCTTAATTCTGAAATATAAAAGAATTATACATGCAGATCTACTACAACAAGTAAATGCAGACAATGTTCCAAATGGACAATACTATACTGTACAGAAGTGATTGATGAGATTTGAAGAATATTTTCTAAATCATTACATGCTGTTTTCTTTATGAGTCTCTCCACACACGCTCTCACTTAAAAATATTCATTGAATATCATGTGACCTGTACACATAATGACAAATATCTCCATATCCACAAATATAAACAATACTTAAAGTAATTTTTATTCATAAGCATCATTTTAAGTGTTATTTATAACACACCTTTAAATAAGATTCAAATTCCTTTTGGTAACTTTTTAGCTCAACTGAGCATATGCTCAGGGTGAGCTATTAGGATCACTCTTCGTACGTCGTCCGTTGTCCGTTCAAACTTTTAAAACGACATCTCCTCTGAAACCATAAGGCAGATCATAATGAAACTTCACAGGGATGTTCCTTGTGTGAAGCCTTAACAAAGTTGTTCAAAGAATTCCATTCCATGCAGAACTCTGGTTGCCATGGCAACCAAAAGAAAAAACTTAAAATATCTTCTTCTAAAAAACCCAAAGAGCTAGAGCTTAGATTTTTGGCATGAAACATCTTCTGGTGAGTGTCTACCAAGTTTGTTCAAATAAAAGGCCACTGGTCAAAATTGGCCCCGCCCCAGGGGGTCATTGATTTTCCCTATATGCAAATAGTAAAAACTTAAAAAATCTTCTTTTAAAGAACCAAAAGAGCTAGAGCTAAGATATTCAACATGAAACATCTTCTAATAGGTGTCTACCAAGTTTTTTCAAATAAAAACCCTGGGGTCAAAATTGGCCCCGCCCCAGGGGGTCATTGATTTTCCCTATATGCATATAGTAAAAAATTAAAAAATCTTCTTTTAAAGAACCAAAAGAGCTAGAGCTAAGATATTTACAATGAAACATCTTCTAATGGGTGTCTTCCAAGTTTGTTCAAATAAAAGCCCTTGGGTCAAAATTGGCCCGGCCCCAGGGGGTCATTGATTTTCCATATATGCATATAGTAAAAACTTAAAAAATCTTCTTTTAAAGAACCAAAAGAGTTAGAGCTAAGATATTTAGAATGAAACATCTTCTAATGGGTGTCTACCAAGTTTGTTTAAATAAAAGCCCTGCGGTCAAAATTGGCCACGCCCCAGGGGGTCATTGATTTTCCCCATATGCATATAGTAAAAACTTTAAAATCTTCTTTTAAAGAACCCAAAGAGCTAGAGCTAAGATATTTAGCATGAAACATGTTCTAATGGATGTCTACCAAGTTTGTTCAAATAAGAGCCCTGGGGTCAAAATTAGGGGTCATCGATTTTCCAAATTTCCTTATATGTGTATAGGAAAAACTTAAAAAATCTTCTTTGGAAAAAACCAAATAGCTAGAGTTTAGATATTAAGCATGAAACATCTTCTAGTGAGTGTCTACAAAGTTTGTTCAAATAAAAGCCCTGGGGTCAAAATTGGCCCCACCCGGAGGTAATTCATTTTCCCTATATGTGTAAAACTATAGCAAAAATTAAAAAATCTTCTTTGAAAAAACTCAAATAGCTAGAGTTTAGATATTAAGCACGAAGCATCTTCTAGTGAGTGTCTTCAAAGTTTGTTCAAATAAAAGCCCTGGAGTCAAAATTGGCCCGCCCCAGGGGACATTGATTTTCCTTATACGAGTATAGCAAAAACTTTCAAATCTTCTTTGAAAAAACCAGAATAGCTAGAGTTTAGATATTAAGCATGAAACATTTTCTAGAAAGTGTCTACAAATATTGTTCAAATAAAAGCACTGGGGTCAAAACTGGCCCTGCCCCAGGTGTGTCATTGTTTTTATATGCCCGAAAGAATTTCGGACATATTATGTTATACCCCCTGGCGTCCGTCCGTCCGTCCGTCCGTCCGTCCGTTAGCAATTTGGTTTCCGGAGCATAACTTAAGTTCCATTTGGCCCACAATATTCAAACTTCATAGGATGATTGTCCATATTGGGTAGAAGACCCCTATTGATTTTGGGGTCATAAGGTCAAAGGTCAAGGTCACTATGACCTTAAAACTGAAAACAGTTTCCGGAGCATAACTTAAGTTCCATTTGGCCTACAGTGTTCAAACTTCATAGGATGATTGTCCATATTGGGTAGAAGACCCCTATTGATTTTGGGGTCACAAGGTCAAAGGTCAAGGTCACTATGACCTTAAAACTGAAAACAGTTTCCGGAGCATAACTTAAGTTCCATTTGGCCCACAGTGTTCAAACTTCATAGGATGATTGTCCATATTGGGTAGAAGACCCCTATTGATTTTGGGGTCACAAGGTCAAAGGTCAAGGTCACTATTACTTAGAAATTGAAAACAGTTTCTTGAGCATGACTTTAGTTCCATTTAGCCCACAATATTCAAACTTTATAGGATGATTGTCCATATTGGGTAGAAGACCCCTATTGATTTTGGGGTCACAAGGTCAAGGTCACTATTACCTTAAAACTGAAAACAGTTTTCGGAATATAACTTAAGTATCATTTGGCCTACTGTGTTTAAACTTCATAGTATGATTGTCCATATTGGGTAAAAGACCCCTAATGATTTTGGGGTCACAAGGTCAAAGGTCAAGGTCACTTTTACCTTAGAATTGAAAACAGTTTCTGGGGCATAACTTAAAGTTCCATTTGGACCACAATATTGAAACTTCAAAGGAGGATTGTTATTTGAAGGAGGTAATACTTTATTTTAGTCCCATGTCTTACAAATGCTTCATCTTTACTAAAAAAAAAACAACACTTTCGGGCATATAATGCTCCGCCTAGCGGTGCTCTTGTTAACTATATGTGTAAAGAAAAAACTTTAAAAAATCTTCTTTTAAAAATCCCAGACCTTAGATGTTTAGCATGAAACATTTTTTAATAGTTGTCTACCAAGTTCGTTCAAATAAAAGCCTTGGGGTTTAAACTGGCCCCGCTCCGGGGGCCTATGTACAGGTGAGCGATTTCAGGGCCATCATGGCCCCTCTTGTTTTAATCACAGCATCGCGAAAATATGTGACAAATGAATATTTGTCTGTTTTCTGCTGAAACATTCACAATTCTAGATGTTTATTGTAATTATATAAAATTAAATATTTTTGTTCAATATAAGAATGTTTATCTTCAGTTTTTTCCTCAAGATTCGTAAAACAAATATTTCAAATCTGTTATTTATGGCGAAATTAAGAGTCTACCATGGTTTATTTGACATTTTGGAGACAAAATTTACTGGTATTTTTTGACATATCCATTTTTATGTGAGTCTGTATCTTACAATTTTTATTAAAATAAATTAAAAGTATTTTGTGTAAGTCCTATAGATAGATAATAGCTTAGATATTTGGCATGAAACATCTTCTAGTGAGTGTCTACCAAGTTTGTTCAAATAAAAGCCCTGGGGTCAAAATTGGCCCCGCCCCAGGGGGTCATTGATTTTCCCTATATAGCTATCATACTGTATTTCTGTATGGTGAATTCGTGGTCTCAGATCGGCAATTATTTTAGGCTAAATTATTCAAAGTGTTGGGCGACTTTTAGGAGTTTTTTTTAAATCAATTTCATAAATAAACAATTTGAAATCAAATTTTTGATGGGAATTGTGAATTTTTCATCACATTTTTGTGAAATTTGAGCATTCTTTAGATCGGGATAAGACATATTTGTCCTCAAATTGCTGTTCGAGATTTCCTCTCATTTAAAAAATTTCTTTGAGATTTTGGTGATTTTTGTGTCGCCTCTACGGAGTAGTGGCGACATATAGGGATCACTTCTCCGTCGTCTGTCTGTCCGTCTGTCCGTCCGTCCGTCACAAAACTTGTCCGGACTACCCCTCATAAACTACTGGTGCAATTTCATCCAAACTTTACAGGAATGATCAGTATCAAGTCTAGTTGTGCATATTGTCAGCATTTTCCGGTTCAATGATTATTGTCAGAGTTATGGCCCTTTAGAAATTTTTAATTTTAAAGTTTGTCCGGACTACTTCTCTTATACCACTGAAGCAATTTCAATGAAACTTTACAGGATTGATCTGTAGCTCAAGTCCTTGCGCATATTGCAAGGGTTTTCCGGTTGAATGATTTTTGGCCGAGTTATGGCCCTTTGATAAAAAGGTGTTTTTTTCTGTGTGTTGCCAGATACACAATAGCTTGTCCGGACTACTCCTCATAAACTACTGGTGCAATTTCATCCAAACTTTACAGGAATGATCAGTACCAAGTCTAGTTGTGCATATTGTCAGCATTTTCCGGTTCAATGATTTTTGTCAGAGTTATGGCCCTTTAATAGTTTTTATTTTTAAAGTTTGTCCGGACTAGTTCTCTTATACCACTTATGCAATTTCAATGAAACTTTACAGGATTGATCTGTAGCTCAAGTCCTTGCGCATATTGCACGGGTTTTCCGGTTGAATGATTTTTGGCTGAGTTATGGCCCTTTGATAAAAAGGTGTTTTTTTCTGTGTGTTGCCAGATACGCAAAAGCTTGTCCGGACTACTCTTCATAAGCTACTGGTGCAATTTTATCCAAACTTTACATGATTGATCAGTACCAAGTCTAGTTGTGCACTGTCCGTCTGTCTGTCCGTCTGTTACAAAATTTGTCCTAACATGAAATTGGCCATTATGAGGCGACACATGTGATTACTGATCGCTCTTGTTTAGCTCACCTGTCACAAAGTGACAGGGTGAGCTTTTGTGATCGCTTTTCATCCGGCGTCCGTCCGTAAACTTTTACTTTAAATGACATCTCCTCATAAACCACTAAGCCAATTTCATCCAAACTTCACAGGAATGTTCCTTTGGTGGTCACCTTTAAAAATTGTTCAAAGAATTTAATTCCATGCAGAACTCTGGTTGCCATGGCAACCGAAAGAAAAAACTTTAAATATCTTCTTTTAAAAAACCATAAGAGCTAGAGCTTAGATATTTTTGGCATGAAACATCTTCTAGTGAGTGTCTACCAAGTTTGTTCAAATAAAAGCCCTGGGGTCAAAATTGGCCCCGCCCCAGGGGGTCATTGATTTTCCCTATATATGCATATAGTAAAAACTTAAAAAATCTTCTTTTAAAGAACCCAAAGAGCTAGAGCTAAGATATTTAGCATGAAACATGTTCTAATGGGTATCTACCAAGTTTGTTCAAATAAAAGCCCTGGGGTCAAAATTGGCCCCGCCCCGGGGGGTCATTGATTTTCCCTATATGCATATAGTAAAAACTTAAAAAATCTTCTTTTAAAGAACCCAAAGAGCTAGAGCTAAGATATTTAGCATGAAACATGTTCTAATGGGTGTCTACCAAGTTTGTTCAAATAAAAGCCCTGGGGTCAAAATTGGCCCCGCCCCGGGGGGTCATTGATTTTCCCTATATGCATGTAGTAAAAACTTATAAAATCTTCTTTTAAAGAACTCAAAGAGCTATGGCTAAGATATTGAGCATCAAACATGTTCTAATAGGTGTCTACCAAGTTTGTTCAAATGAAAGCCCTGGGGTCAAAATTTGCCCCGCCCCGGGGGTCATTGCTTTTCCTTATATGGGTATAGCAAAAACTTAAAAAATCTTCTTTGAAAAAACCCAAATAGCTAGAGTTAAGATATTAAGCATGAAACATGTTTTAGTGTGTGTCTACAAAGTTTGTTCAAATAAAAGACCTGGGGTCAAAATTGGCCCCGCCCCGGGGGTCATTGATTTTCTTTATATGTGTATAGCAAAAACTTAAAAATCTTCTTTGAAAAAACCCTAGAGTTTAGATATTAAGCATGAAACATCTTCTAGTAAGTGTCCACAAAGTCAAAGTCAAAACTGGCCCGGCCCCAGGGGTGTCATTGTTTTTACCTATATGTGTATAGTAAAAACTTAAAAAAAAATCTTCTTTTAAAAAGCCCAATGAGCTAGAGCTTAGATGTTTAGCATGAAACATCTTCTTATGGGTGTCTACCAAGTTTGTGCAAATAAAAGCCCTTGGGTTAAATTGGCCCTGCAACGTTGGGGGGGGTGGGGGTTGGGGGAGCCTATATACAGGTGAGCGACCTCAGGGCCATCATGGCCCTCTTGTTTGTGAGAAATGGCGGATATCGCCCCCAAGAATGATGCAAAACTTGAAAAAAAAATCTTTTCTCTAAATCTACAAAAGCTAAAGCTTAGTTGCCTTAGCAACCAGTGACTTCTTAGCAGCCATTGACTTTTCATAGCAAACTGTAGTTTCATAGTAACCAGCAAACATTAACTTTTCATAGCAACCAGTGAATCTTTTATTGAATTTCATAGCAGGCGCTGACTTCCAAGGAAATCATTAATTTTGTAAAGCAAACTGTGATATGGAATTGTAGTTTTCCCTATGCAAGATTTTTACACATGCACTCTTTCAGATACAAATATGAACTTTGTGATATCAATTTAATATTTAGATTTTATATCTGCTTCCATTTATAGTTTACAATATTACTTGTTATCTGTCATGGAGAATATTCATATTCAGGTGAGCGATATTAGGGCCCTAATGTTTGTTATTAATGATCAACTGAATAGGTATTAACACAATTTTTCATTTTGTTTACACTTTGGAAGAGCTGTCATTTTACAATTTTGTATGAACAGAAAATGGCATTGATACTAAGTAGCCTTTTGATATGCTAAACTGAATATTGTGTTTGTAACTATAAAATGTATATATACATGTATGTTTTTGTCAGGATGGGAAAACATTGAAAGATGAGCTAGAGACTATTGAAGGGATGAAGTTTGACAGAGGATATATTTCACCATATTTTATCAATTCCTCAAAGGGTAAGTTTTTGGTTCAACATTTTAGCTTTTGCCATTTTCAAGGATCTCAAAGCAGTGTTTAATAAACAAAATGGTTTTAAATCAGTTACAAATTGTGTTATTGATCAGACTAACTGCCAATCTCTTCCAGATGGTAAAATTAAATAAAATTTCAAGTAAAAAGGAAATATGGTTATATTTGTAAATCTATTATTACTTACCTCTAAATTCAAAACAGGAAGTTGACAAAATCATCAAAAAAACCATGTTTCATCTTTGTACTGTGTTTCTTATACAGTAGCCAATATGAATAGAAAAGATTTTTTTTTTTTTTGCTCCCAGGCATCTAATAATTTGTTCATCCATACAAGGTTAACCTAGAACAGCAAGTTGTATTTTTAGTCCCCTACCGGTTTAACGGAGGGGACTTTAGGTTTACCCTCCGTCCGTCTGTCCATCTGTCTGTCTGTCAGTCCGTCCGTCCACAAAACTGGATCCCGCGATAACTTGAAAAGTACTGAAAATATTTTTATGAAACTTGGTATATGGATAGATGGCAGATTATGCACGTCTTTTTATTTTCTTCCTATGTTGAAAATTCTGGTTGCTATGGCAACAAATAGGCTGAAAATATGGCAAATTTTACACATAAACTGGATCCAGTGATAACGCAAAAAGTACTGGAAATATTTTTATGAAACTTGACATATGGGTAGATGACAGTCTTGAGATTATGCACGTCTTTTTCTTTTCTTCCTATGTTGAAAATTCTGGTTGCCATGGCAACAAATAGGCTGAAAATATGGCAAATTTTACACATAAACTGGATCCAGTGATAACGCAAAAAGTACTGGAAATATTTTTATGAAACTTGACATATGGGTAGATAGCAGTCTTGAGATTATGCATGTCTTATCTGTTCTTCCTATTTTTGAAAAAATATCTGTTGCCTTGGCAACAAATAGGCTTAAAACATGGCAAATATAACAATATTTGTGATTAGTCAAAAAGAGCTGAAATTTTTTATGAAATTGCATCTTTAATTCAAGAGTTATCTCCTCTTTAAGAATTTTGCTTTTAAAATGTTATATTTTGGTAACAGGGATGTTTCAAATATTAACTTTAGAGTGTCCTTCAGTCCATCTGTCTGTCTGTTCATAAAAACTGTTTCCTGTGATCACTTTTAAAGAACTTTTCCAACAAATTTACTTAAAATAGAGAAAAATTGAAACATTAGTGAATGGCCAATGGCCCTTCAGAATGTTGATGGGTTTCTAACCGGTAGGGGACTTATGGATTGCTTGCAATACTATGATAATTGCTTGTTCTTTAAGTTCTACCTGTATCAATGGCTACATAATTTTCACACTACTCAATATAAAATACATGATCTGGGCAAGATGCCTAACTATGACGTCCATTTTTGTGTCGCCTTGAAAAGGTGACATATAGGGGTTACTTTTGTCGGCGTTCCCTAAAGCTTGTCCGGAGCATAACTCAGTCACTATAAGTCTGATTGACTTCAAACTTGGTATGCATGCTTCTTTCAATAACCCGAAGTGCAGTGCACAAGGACCAGTACTCTGCAGTTCTTATTTTTTGAGTTATTGCCCTTTGTTAATTTTCATACTTTAATTTTGTCCAGGCCATTTCTCTTCAACTAAAAAAGCTATGGACTTGAAACTTCATAGGATGATAGGTCTCATTAAGAAGAAGTGCAGTGCTCAAGAACAGTTACTCTGCATTTCTTATTTTTTGAGTTATTGCCCTTTGTTTATTTTCATACTTTAATTTTGTCCTGGCCATTTCTCCTTAAGTATAATTTAAAGCTATGGACTTGAAACTTCATAGGATGATAGATCTCATTAAGAAGAAGTGCAGTGCACAAGAATCGGTATTCTGCATTTCTTAATTTTTGAGTTATGGCCCATTGTTAATTTTCATACTTAATTTTTGTCCAGGCCATTTCTCCGAAAGTATAAAAGTTATGGACTTGAAACTTCATAGGATGATAGATCTCATGAAGAAAAAGTGCAGTGCATAAGAACTGATACTCTGCATTTCTTTTTTTTTTTTTTCCAAGTTATTGCCCTTTACAGCACTTTAAAAAAATGAATATGGTTAACCTAAACTGGCAAGTTGAATATATCTGAAGTTTTATCTATATTAATGGCTCCATAATTTCCACTTTTTTCTCTCAATACAATGTACAGCCAAGTTATGAAACTGTGCCATCCATTCTTAGCTTGACTTTTTGTGCCCCCCTGGGGGTGGGGGGGGGGCATTTAGATTTACCTTTGTCAGTCATTTTGTGTCGCACGTAGCTCAAGAAGTATTTCACCTATAGTCATGAAACTTTACAGGAATATTACACATCATGTGAAGTTATGCACCTGGGGTTTTGCTTGTGGATTTAGTCTGTTTTGTCAGATTTATTGCCCTTGACTTAGTAAAAATTAGCAATTTTCAACTTGTGTCACACGTAGCTCAATAAGTATTTGACCTAGAGTCATGAAACTTTACAGAAATGTTGCTCAGCATGTGTAGTTGTGCACCTGGGTATTTTCATGTGGATTTATTTAGTATTTGTAGAGTTATTGCCTGTGACTAAGTAAAAAAATTGCAATTTTCAACTTGTGTCACACATAGCTCAAAATGTATTTGACCTAGAGTCTTGAAACTTTATAGGAATGTTGCTCAGCATGTGTAGTTTTGCACCTGGGTATTTTTGTGTGGATTTATTTAGTATTTGTAGATTTTGCCCTTGATTAAGTAAAAATTTGTAATTTTCAAGTTGTGTCGCACGTAGCTCATAAGTATTTGACCTAGAGTCATGAAACTTTACAGGAATGTTGATAAGCATGTGAGGTTCTGCACTAGAGTTTCGCTTGTTCATTTTTTTTCTGTTTTGTCAGAGTTATTGCCCTTGGCTTAGTAAAAATTTGCAATTTTCAATTTGTGACGTGTGTAGCTCAAAGGTATTTAACCTGGGGTTTTGCTAGTGGATTTATCCAGTATTTCTAGAGTTATTTCCTTGACTTGATAAAAATCTTTCCATTATGGTGTATTTTTTGTTCCATGAGTTAAAATCAACCAACTTCACAGGAATAATGATTTATGGACATTGCATTGACACTTGGTCCCATACTTTTGGATTTGTTTTCAGGTTTGTGGCTCATCCACTACCTGTTTACCAACTTAATTAAATTTTCAACATTAATGGTGAATGGTGGGAAATTTTCGTAACAGTTTTCTCATCAACTTCTTATCACAACCTTTTGATATCTGGCATACAGCATTAACATATGGTCCCATACAGTGGGATTTGATTACGGTCTGTGTCTTATCCACTTCCTGTTTACTGAATTAGTTAAATTTTTTACATTAATGGTCAATGTACTAAGGGTGTCATTTTTTTTCGTTTAAACAGGTATGGTCGGTTTTTAGCTAAAGCCGGTTAGAAAATTTAATAACTGGGAACCAAGTTTAATATTGAAGTTAGACAAAGAGCCGAGAAAGTTTTAAATTTGAATTTAAACCTTACCTTAATTTTTATAACAAGAAAGATATGACATTTTGTTTTATTTAAATTGTACACAACATCGTATTTTTTTCCGATTACATACTATCTGATTGCAAAGGAATTCTCAATTTGAGTACTATAAAATACAAACAAAATGATATATCTTGTCATTAGAAACAAAGTTGATTTTGAACATCTAAGAACTTCCTTATATGGTCAGTTTTATGTTTAACAGGGTTTTAAGGTTGCCGTTTAAAGGGTTATATTTCTTTTCTGAATGTGGTACCCCTAATCTATACCATCCCTACCTTGTGCATATGGCAGGCAAGTTCCTCTTAGCTGCACAAAATGGCCACCAGAGCTAAAATTGAAAAATCTTGTTTGTCTGACTGGTCAAACTGCTGGCGGGATTTCAATGAAACTTCACAAGAGTGATCAGTATCATCCCTTGTGAATATTGCTGGCTTGTTCTGCTTTGCTGCACAAAATGGCTGTTAGAGCTATCAATAGAAAAATCTTGCCTGGCTTTCAAAGGTCAAACTGTTGGTGGGATTTGACTAAAGTTCACAGGAGTGATCAGTACCATACCTTGTTTTAGGAGACATATCTTTTTGTGACAAAAACCCCTTCTAGTTTGAAGTAGAAAAGAGAATAGTGAATTAAGCATTGATAAATTAAAACATGTATAAGATAAGTTTAAACAGAATCTCGATTCAGGGATGTGAATTTTATGTTATAGGAGCCAAATGTGAGTTTCAGGATGCCCTTATTCTTCTCAGTGAGAAAAAGATCTCCAGTATTCAGTCAATTATACCAGCTCTAGAACTTGCCAACCAGGCCCGTAAACCACTTGTCATTATTGCTGAAGATGTGGACGGTGAAGCTTTAAGCACACTTGTGCTGAATAGGTTTGTAAAAAGTGTTATTATACAGAAATTTATTATACCCCCACCAGTATTCGAAATTAGCAGTAGTCCTATAGCCCCAGACTACTAAATTTCTCCTCAGGCTACCAACTTTTCACAGTAACAAGCCCGACAAGGCTACTGTATTTTTATGGGCAATATAAACAACGGTTTTGAACAAATGAATCGGGCTAGTGAAATGTCTTTTGGGCTAGTGAATATTTCAATCTGGTAATCCGACCAGCCTAGTAAATTCAAATCCTAATTTCTAATTGCCCCACACAACAAAGCTTGATTGCCCCTTTTTAGGGGCCACTTAAGCTAAAAATAGAAAAACCTCTAAACATTTTCTACTTAACTTATTGATGAATTATCATCAAACTTTGTCTGTAGCATTCTTAAGTAGTTAGTCTTTTATCAGATTTGCTCATAATAATTTATTTGGCCCTTTTTAGCTAAAAATAGAAAAAAAAAACCTTTAAAAATCCTCTACTGAACTAATTGATGGATGATCTCAAAACTTTGTCTGTAGCATTCTTGGGTAGTCTTATCAAATTTGCTCATATTAATTTGATTCTCCATTTTTAGGGGTCTCTAGAGCTAAAAATAGAAAAACTTTTCAACATCTTTTACTGAACAAATTGAACTTTGTAGCATTCTTAGGTAGTCTTTTATAAAAAGGCTCCAGTATAAAAATAAAATTAGAAGTGAGTTGACATGCTTTACTTGCCAGATGTACAGTACCAATAAACTTGGGCCATTCGTGAAATGTTCCTTATTTATTATGAGGAAAAAAAAACAATCAGTGTCGTAAAACTATATAACTAGAGGGACAAGTTGAAGTTGAGCTGCATTTGCATTTCAGTAAGTTCATTTAAAAACCACTGAAAAATAGTGTGCTTTTTTTAGGCATATCTTTTGTCCTTACTAATGTTTTAATTATTTATATCTATATAAAAAACTATTGGTATATTGTAGATTGAAGGTTGGACTTCAAGTTGTTGCAGTTAAGGCCCCTGGATTTGGTGACAATCGTAAGAATACTCTACGTGACATGGCAGTTGCTAGTGGAGGTGTGGTGTTTGGGGATGAGGCAGATATGTATAAGTTGGAGGATATTCAGATGCAAGACTTTGGTGGTATTGGTGAAGTTACTATCACTAAAGATGATACTTTGATGATGAAGGTTGGTTTTACTTGAAAAGTAGAGATAGGGAAAGAATTTTTACAAATAAGATTATGTCTCCACTTGTTGGAAAACTTGTGAGACATTTCTAAAAGTTATGAGACATTGTTCAAAACTGCAATTTTTTTTGTAATGATTATAAAGGACGAAGATGCATATTTTGTCTTCTCCATGACAAGAAAATGTAGCTGCACTATAAATCAGGGAATATAAGACCCTGTCTAAAACAAAGGTCTTAGTACCTTTCCATAACATATCAAGTAATATATGACATGTGTCACAAAGTGACATGGTGAGCTTTACTGAAGACGGACGAAAAGTGATCACAAAAGTGTTACTTCAAACAACATCTCCTCATAAACTGCTTAGCCAATGTCATCCAAACTTCACATGAATGGTCCTTTGGTGGTCACCTTTAAAAATTGTTCAAAGAATATAATTCCATGCAGAACTCTGGTTGCATGGCAATCGAAAGAAAACACCTAAAATATCTTCTTTAAATAAAAAACCAAAGAGATAGAGCTTCGATATTTGGCATGAACTATCTTTTGTGATTGTCTATCAGGTTTGTTCAAATAAAAGCTCCGGGGTCAAAATTGGCCCTGCCCCAGGGGGGACAGTGCTTTTCCTTATATGTATATAGTAAAAAATTAAAAAATCTTCTTTTTAAAAAAAATGAAGAGCTATAGCTTAAATATTTGGCATGAAACATTGTCTGATGAGTGTCTACCATTTTTGTTCAAATAAAAGCCCTGGGGTCAAAATTGGCCCTGCCCCAGGGGGGTCATTGATTTTCCTTATATGTATATAGTAAAAAATTTATATACAAGTGAGCGATATAAGGGCCATCATGGCCCTCTTGTTTGTATGTAGGTATAAGACATTGTATTTGCATTTCATTCATGGTTAACAATATTGATTGTTCCTTGCAATCAATAGCCTTAATCAGGTGAGCGATATAAGAGACATCATGGCCCTCTTGTTTCATTAATCCTTTGCATGATACACCATTTACCACCAGTTTATATTGTTGCTATACACTGGTAAAACTATGGTGTAGATTAAAAACAGTGTTCACTTTCCTGTATTGATGATTGTTTGGCAATATGGGCATTACACACTGTAACATATGAACTTAGCCAGCGAAAATTGTCACTTGTTTGATCTATATAATCAATTTTCATCATTTTGCAAACGTAACACATCATCTTTATTACAAAATAAGTTGTCAATGACAATAAAAAATTTCTCACAGTTCTGATGTTGATATAAAACACATGCCTGATGCAATATGACAAACTTTCATTGGAAGTGCAAGACATATATATATAATGCTTCCCTAACTTCATACATTATAAGCACAGAAATATGACGATTTTTGTCACACATTTGGAACCCCTGGGGTCAATGTCACCATTACTAAAAATAGAAAAATTGTTTCTGGAAGGTAACATTAGTTAAAAATGAGATATTGTAATCAAACTTACTATTTAGCAACCTTATTTGATTCCATGCAGAAATGTGATTGCCATGTAAAAAATAAATTTAAAAAATCTTGTAAAGACCCACAAGGCCTAGGGCATAGATATTTTGCAGAAGACAAAGATTGTTCAAATTATAGCCCTGGGGGTCATTGATTTCCACTATGTACATATAGTAAGAACTTAAAAAAAATCCTCTTGTCTAAAGGTACAAGGCTTAGAGCTTTGCATGAGCTATGCCATACGTAATTCCCTAATTATAATGTAAAGTTGCAAACATAAAGCCTTGGCTAACAAACTCATACCCAATTTTTCAAATGTCCAGGAGTTCTTGTGATAACCCTGAAGATGTCCTAGAGTTCCTGAGATAATTTTTGTTACTGTGAGTGTATTTTGCTCTAAATCATTTGAAAATCAATTTTTTTGTGTAACATGATTAGTGGTTCTCTACAAAGATTGTTCTAATTGTGTCCCTGAATGAAAAGTGGCCCTGTCAGGGGGCTTATTGATTAAAAAATATCTTTAAAAATTTCCTTGTCAAAATCCACAAGGCTTAGAGCCTTGATATTTGTTATGTAACATGATCTAGTGGTCCTCTACAAAGATTGTTCAAATTATGCCCCTAGGGTCACCAGGAGCCCAATTAGTTTTATTGAGAGTTATTTAAGAAAATTAGAAAAAAATTCTTCTCAAAAATCACAAGACCTAGTGTTTTGATATTTGGTATCATACTATGTAAGGTCATCTAGTTGCCCTCTACAATTAGAAGAAGAAAAAACATATTTAAACAACATCTAAACCACTGGTTCAATTTTGAAATAATTTTACACAAAAATTTCCTTGGTGACAGTGTACAAAAATTGTTTAGATTAAGCTGTCCTTTTTTAGCTCACCTGTCACAAAGTGACAGGCTGAGCTAATTTGTGATCGCTTTTCGTCCGCCGTCCGTAAACTTTTACTTTAAATGACATCTCCTCATAAACCACTAAGCCAATTTCATCCAAACTTCACATGAATGTTCCTTTGGTGGTCACCTTTGAAAATTGTTCAAAGAATTTAATTCCATGCAGAACTCTGGTTGCCATGGCAACCAAAAGAAAAAAACTTTAAATATCAGGGTGTCATTGATTTTCCCTAAATGCATATAGTAAAACCTTAAAAAATCTTCTTTAAAAGACCCCAAAGACCTATAGCTAAGATATTTAGCATGAAACATCCTCTAATGGGTGTCTACCAAGTTTGTTCAAATAAAAGCCCTGGGGTCAAAATTGGCCCCGCCCCAGGGGGTCATTAATTTTCCCTATATGCATATAGTGAAAACTTAAAAAATCTTCTTTTAAAGAACCCAAATAGCTAGAGCTAAGATATTTAGCATGAAACATGTTCTAATAGGTGTCTACCAAGTTTGTTCAAATAAAAGCCCTGGGGTCAAAATTGGCCCCGCCCCAGGGGGTCATTGATTTTCCCTATATGCATATAGTAAAAACTTAAAAAATCTTTTTGTAAAGAACCCAAAGACCTAGAGCTAAGATATTTAGCATGAAACATCCTCTAATGGGTGTCTACCAAGTTTGTTCAAATAAAAGCCTTGGGGTCATAATTGGCCCCGCCCGGGGGGTCATTGATTTTCCCTATATGCATATAGTAAAAACTTAAAAAATCTTCTTTTAAAGAACCCAAAGAGCTAGAGCTAAGATATTTAGCATGAAACATGTTCTAATGGATGTCTACCAAGTTTGTTCAAATAAGAGCCCTGGGGTCAAAATTGGCCCTGCCCCGGGGGTCATTGATTTTTCTTATATGTGTATAACAAAAACTTAAAACATCTTCTTTGAAAAAATCAAATAGCTAGAGTTTAGATACTAAGCTTGAAACATCTTCTTTCGTGTCCGGAGTAGTTCTCTGCAACTAATGGCTGGAATTCAACGAAACTTTATGTGAATGTTGATCAGCATGTGAAGTTGTGCACCTGGGTATTTTCGTCTGGATATTTTTAGTATTTTTAGAGTTATTGCCCTTGACTCAGTAAAATTTTGTCCAAATTTCGTTTCCGGAGTAGTTCTCTGCAACTTATGGCTGGAATTCAACGAAACTTTATGGGAATGCTGATCAGCATGTGAAGTTGTGCACCTGGGTATTTTCGTCTGGATATTTTTAGTATTTTAAGAGTTATTGCCCTTGACTTAGTAAAATTTTGTAATTTTCAACTTGTGTCGCATGTAACTCAAAAAGTATTTGACCTAGAGTCATGAAACTTTACAGGAATGTTGATCAGTATGTGTAGTTGTGCACCTGGGTATTTTCGTCTGGATATTTTTAGTATTTTTAGAGTTATTGCCCTTGACTTAGTAAAATTTTGTAATTTTCAACTTGTGTCGCATGTAACTCAAAAAGTATTTGACCTAGAGTCATGATACTTTACAGGAATGTTGATCAGCATGTGTAGTTGTGCACCTGGGTATTTTCGTCTGGATTTATTTAGTATTTTTAGAGTTATTGCCCTTGACTTAGAAAATGTTTGCAATTTTCAACATGTGTCGCATGTAACTCAAAAAGGATTTGACATAGGGTCATTAAACCTTATTGGAAAGTTGCTCAGCATATTTAGTTTGTTCCTGGGGTTTCGCTTGTGAATTTATCCAGTATTTGTAGAGTTATTTCCCTTGACTTAGTAAAACCTGTTTTATTATGTTGTTATTTGATCCTTGAGTGCTTGAGTTAGAATCGACCAACTTTACAGGAATAATGATCAACATCACTAAATTACAGGAATAATGATTCACCTCACTGTGATGCTATGAACCTGGGACTTTGCATGTGGATTTTTTTCAGTTTTGTTAGAGTTATTGCCCTTGAATTACAGTAGTATAAATTTGCAATTTTCAACTTGGGGTTTGCTTGGGGATTTATTCAGTATTTGTAAAGTTCTTGCCCTTTACTTAGTAAAAAGATTTTTAGTTTTCAAAAAATATTTGACCTAGAGTCATAAGATTGACAGAACAGTGGCGCGGTGGGGGCACCCGTGTCCTATGGACACATTTCTAGTTTTTATTAAAGAAGAATTAAAATGATTTGTTACAATAACATTTAAAAATATTTGAAAATTGTGAGATCCCTTCTTGATGCCTTGAAAATGGCAAAGAAGTCTGGAGATTAAGATGTTTTTACATCTATGTGAGCTATTGTGATCCCCCACCGTCCGTCGTCGTGCGTCGTCAGCAATTTCTTTAAACAACATCTCCTCAGAAACAAATGACTGCACAGCAACCAAACTTTACAGGAATGATCCTAGGGTGGTCCCCTGCCAAAGTTGATCAAATGGTTCCGGTCTGTTGCATAAGTAGGTCACAGGGCCAGAAAAGGAGTTTCCTAAATGCAAAATTAAAAAATCTTGTCTGAAAGTACAAGGCCTAGAGCTTTGATATTTGGTATATGATATATAACCTATAGGCAGAGCTCCAGATAGCGTGCGTATAAGCGTAAAATACGCATAGAAAATCTAAAATACTCACCACTTTCAAAATTCGTGCGTCAAAGATACGCACAACAAAATGAAAATACGCTTGTATGTCAAAATTTAAGAGTGAAAGAATAGAATTATTTAGAAAGAGGATGTTCTGAGCACAAAAAATACAATAAATTTCCATTTTATTGCATTGAAAACTAAAAATTCTGTTGTCAACAACGCATGTTAAAACGAAAGTAGCAGGAAGTACAGAAGGGAGGTAACTCCCGTAGATCAACCTGTGAAATTATTGATAAAATTTGTGCCAGATAATCTTTGTAGGAGTTAACATAGTATTAGGTTTGTTAAGGCATCTATTGACATGCTTATGCCTCAATATAAGTAAAAATATATTTCTTTCACTTTTGTTGTTGGGACAAAATAACATGTTTTTCACCTGCAGTTTTGTACTCAATATTTTCGTACTCAGTCTACAGTTATCAATATTTTCGTACTCAGTCTACAGTTAAGGACAATTTTCTCTCAGACCAATACTTTTTTTAAGGAAAGATAAAAAAAACAATCTTGTTTATTATTTTTAAATTCTAATTTCAACTATAATTGTTCAAACTGAAGTTTGCCAACAGAAATAAAGAAAGAAAAATATTGACTCCTAGAAAATAAAATAATTTCAGGGCTTCCACTAGTGGAAGTTTGGGAGTCATTTACTCCTTCATTTTGGCCTGTGACTTCTAAAAATCTAATACTTTTCCTTCTTTACCTATATAATGTGACTTCCAATATCAGAGATTTTGAAGTCTTTGACTTCCAAATTTTGAAAATGGAAGTCCTGATAATTTTGTTGTGTATCCTAAACTTGAGTTCCAGTATACTCTGGAAGTCTGACTTTACAGGGCATGTTTTGTATTGTTTCACATTGAATCAGTATTTTATTTGTAAAGGTTTTTCTTAAAAAAAAAAGAAAACAAACAAACAAACCAAAACAATAAGTTTAATTTGTTTATAAAAAATGCAAAATGCTTTTTGACAGATTTTACCCCTTAAGTTTTTCAGATTTTGCATTTTACCCCTCACTCTAAATTTTGAGGGGTAAAAACCCCTTGGCCAAAAAAATTATCTGGAGCTCTGCTATAGGTCCTCTACCAAAATTGTTCAAATTTTAGCCCTGGGGTCAAAATTGGCCCCACTCCAGGGGGTCATAGATTTTCCTTATATGTATATAGTGAAAACTTAAAAATTCTTCTTGTTTGAAGGTACAAGGCTTCAAGTTCAAAGAATATTACAGTTTATGCCATGATTAATATATAAATAAAGCCTTATGTCTTCAGTTGTTGTGTTAATAATAACCAGTACTCGGCGGGGGATATAAATTCAACGAATTTGCTTGTTGTAATAAAAGCCCTGGGGTCAAAATTGGCCCCGCTCCGGGGGTCATTCATTTTCCTTATATGTGTATAACAAAAACTTAAAAAATCTTCTTTGAAAAAACTCAAATAGCTAGTTTAGATATTAAGCACGAAGCATCTTCTAGTGAGTGTCTACAAAGTTTGTTCAAATAAAAGCCCTGGGGTCAAAATTGGCCCCGCCCTGGTGACATTGATTTTCCTTATATGTGTATAGCAAAAACTTAAAAATCTTCTTTGAAAAAACCTGTATAGCTAGAGTTTAGATATTAAGCATGAAACATTTTCTAGTAAGTGTCTACAAATATTGTTCAAATAAAAGCCCTTGGGTCAAAACTGGCCCTGCCCCAGGTGTGTCATTGTTTTTAACTATATGTGTAAAGAAAAAACTTGACCAGCTAGACCTTAGATGTTTAGCATGAAACATCTTCTAATGGGTGTCTACCAAGTTTGTTCAAATAAAAGCCCTGGGGTTTAAACTGGCCCCGCTCTGGGGACCTATATACAGGTGAGCGACTTCAGGGCCATCATGGCCATCTTGTTTCAAATTCTGCTTACTGGTTGGAGAGGGGCTCCACTGTGACTTTGTAGCCTATTTCTCAGGTAACTAAATCAGTACTGGTATTGTTGAAATATTTCAGTACTAGTATAGTTGGGTAGTCTCAGTACTGGTATGATTGGAATTTTTCTGTACTGGTATGTCAGTAAATAGGTCAGTAAATCAGTACTGGTATTGTTGAAATATTTCAGTATGAATGGTTAGTATATGCATTATTTAACTTAATTTTGCAGGGTAAGGGAGATTCAGCTGATATTGAGAAAAGAATAAATCAGATCAGGGAAGATATTGAACTATCTACATCTGAATACGAGAAGGAAAAAATGAATGAAAGACTTGCAAAATTATCCAATGGTATTGCAGTGTTGAAGGTTAGTTTGACATCATAACTATATAATAACCCATTAAGGGCAACTAATTTACTTTTTTGAATGTAAAAGAAAATACTTTTAAATTCTTGTGAATATGAAGGACATAAATTTAGAAAAAGATTTTAGTGAACTTTTCTATGCAGTGAAAAATAGTTACTTAAGCGCTCAGCTGATAATTTTCATGTAATGCAGTATGAAACTAAGTTGTGATAATGTTAAGTACATGAAGGCAAGTCTTTATTAGCTCAAGGTTCAGGATGAGCTATTAGTAAAGGGGGATGCTCCAGCGTTCGTCATGAGTCAACATTCATCTCTGAAACTGCTGGGTGAATTTAATTCAAATTTGGTCTGTAGCATCCTTGTGACAGTCACATTTTAATTTGCTCATGTCATTTTAATTGTCTCCTTTGTCTCTGTAATAAACTTCTTCTACTGAAATGATACCATGTATGTTATGTCTCTTTTTTTTCTCAAGTTTGCTCAAATTAATGTGATTGGTCCCTTTAAGGGTCCTTGAGAGTTAAAAATAAAAAAAAAAAAACCTTTAAATAGCTTCTACAAAAGTAATTTATGGATGACCAGCAAGCTTAGTCTAAAGCATTCTTAGAAGACAAATAACAATCAGTCGGGAAACCTATATACATGTAACTGGAGGGGCAAGTTTAAGTTGGGCTGGATTTGCCTTTCGGTAGATTTATTCTAACACTGAAAAACAGTTGTTTCTGGTGAGTGATTTTGGGCCGTTATGGCCCTCTTTGTATTTTTATGTGTATTTTAACATTTGAGCTTCTGGAGTTCAGTGTAACAATGTGTGCCTTTCCTTTTTACCTGAAGTCATATATGAAGGGTAGTCTTTGACCTGCGACCACCTGGAAAGCTGAAACACCAATCATGATTTTGACACGGACTTAAAACCAAACGAGGTAAAAAAATTTAAAAAATGAACATTTATTTCATTGTTAGTTTGTTTTTGTTTTGATCTATATATAGATTGGAGGTACAAGTGAAGTTGAAGTAAATGAGAAGAAGGATCGTGTTAATGATGCTCTCAATGCTACTAAAGCAGCTGTAGAGGAAGGTATTGTACCAGGTGGAGGATGTGCTCTCCTTAGATGTTTACCTGCTCTAGATAATGTACAAGCTACAAATGAAGATCAAAAAACAGGTAAAATTATTGTCTTCAAAACTGTTGATGTTTAAATGGAGTAGAACTAGAAGTTGTATTGATTTTTTCCAAATTTTACTGGGTCTAAATATTAGTTATCTTGAGGTCCTGTCCATGATTGATGGTGTTGATGATGTTGATGATTAACTTTGCTCCCAAAGCAAAACACATTTCTAGTTAAAACTTATTTACCTATCAACAATTGTCAGGTCAATTGTAATTTGTAAACAAAAATTTCAATATATATCAAACATTCATAGAAACTCAAAGAATAACAGATTTTGCTAGTTTGAAACTAGCAGTGCATTACAGTTGCCAAACATTGAAGTGGATTTAAAGTAATAAAAAAATCCAACAAAGTTTCATTAGAACTGTACATTTTTTCAATAAAGAACACAATAATTAGTGAAATATACTTCCAAAACAGTCTCTAATTATTAAAAATACGAGGGCTGATTGATAAATTCGCGGAATTATCCTCTAAAAACCAAATTACTTTATTGAATAGCATGAAAACTCAGAGGTAAAACGAAATGTGTGCAATTACATTTCCATATTGTTGAATAATTATCAAAATTTTCCTACGAATACACCGTGTCCATAGCAACCATTGTTCTGTGACTTGAAGCACGCTGTATTGTAAAGAATACATGATGTCTCTATAGGAAGAAAATTAAAGCAAATTTGGCGATAAAGCGTTAGTGTAACGTCTTGACGTCATTTCCTGTAAATTTTAAGATGATGTGTTGAACGGTTGTTTCGAACCAGCATTAACCTTGATGTCTACCAAACTGCGAATGTCATCAGCAGAAGACATTGAATTACGCGCTGTCGTCAAGGTTTGTGTAGGGCTGAAACAAAATATACATGTACACCTTTATATGTACATGCAAATGTGTATTTGAAAGTCGCTATGATGATATTAAATGAAGTACTAGTTGCTCAATGAAGTTTATTTAAGCATTTGATTACATCAACACAACATTTTTTAATTTTATTTTTTTTAGGTTCAACAGTTTCTGACTCTAACTTTTAAATGCAATTAATTAAGAAGTCGTAATAATTATCCAAATTTAATCAATTTACATCAGTTTTAATGATGAATATTATTTTTATAGCCATAATATACAGTTGTAATTAATTACTATCATAAATGTAATGTTGATAACAAGAATGGACAGGCAAACGTATAGGGGAAATAGTAAATCAAACAAAACATATAGGGGAAATAGTAAATCAAACAAAACGTATAGGGGATATTGTAAATCAAACAAGACATATAGGGAAAATTGTAAATCAAACAGAACGTTTAGAGAATATTGTAAATCAAACAAAACATATAGGGGATATTGTAAATAAGACACAAATAAATATGTTTGAGGTAACTTAATTATCAATTAGCTAGCTTTTTATCATCTGCTTTAATTTACCAAAAATTTTACGTACAATCAATGCCCTATTTTTAGCGATGTAGGTTTCCAAGTGTCTCTATGGCCATGCTCCAGCACGTGTACTTATTACGTCTGATTACACAATTAAATCTGCCTCCAGGCAGTATTATCCAGACACAGTGGTGAAATTTATATGTCAGACAGACCTTTCATAGACATTTTAGGGCGACTAGAATTTCGCTTTTCCGATCATATAGGGCGAAGTGAAAATATTTACGGCGAAGTTTTCGCCTGACTTCGCCCTTTTTAGCTCGACTATTCGTAGAATAATCGAGCTAATGCAGTCACCCATTTGTCGGCGTCGGCGTCTCTGTGGTTAAGTTTTTGTATGTAAGCTGGTATCTCCATAACTACTGAAGGGAATGGATTGAAACTTCACACACTTGTTCTCTGTGATTATCTAAGATGATTGGCACAAGTCCCATAACTCTGATTTGCTTTTTTACATAATTATGCCCCTTTTTCAACTTAGAAATTCTTGGTTAAGTTTTTGTATGTAAGCTGGTGTCTCCATAACTACTGAAGGGAATGGATTGAAACTTCACACACTTGTTCTCTGTGATTATCTAAGATGATTGGCACAAGTCCCATAACTCTGATTTGCTTTTTTACATAATTATTCCCCTTTTCGACTTCGAAATTCTTGGTTAAGTTTTTGTATGTAAGCTGGTATCTCCATAACTACTGAAGGGAATGGATTGAAACTTCAAACACTTGTTCTCTGTGATTATCTAAGATGATTGGCACAAGTCCCATAACTCTGATTTGCTTTTTTACATAATTATGCCCCTTTTTCGACTTAGAAATTCTTGGTTAAGTTTTTGCGTGTAAGCTGGTATCTCCATAACTACTGAAGGGAATGGATTGAAACTTCACACACTTGTTCTCTGCGATTATCTTAGATGATTGGCACAAGTCCCATAGCTCTTATTTGCTTTTTTACATAAAAATACCCCTTTTTCGACTTAGAAATTCTTGGTTAAGTTTTTGTATGTAAGCTGGTATCTCCATACTACTGAAGGGAATGGATTGAAACTTCACACACTTGGTCTCTGTGATTATTTAAGATGATTGGCACAAGTCCCATAACTCTGATTTACTTTTTCGTATAATTATTCCCCTTTTTCGATTCATAAATTTGTGGTTAAGTTTTTGTGTGTAAGCTGGTATCTCTATAACTACTGAAGGGAATGGATTGAAACTTCACACACTTGTTCTCTGTGATTGTATTGAAACTTGAAGGGTTTGTACCTTTTCGTACAATTTTATGTATTCATATAGGTAAGCATTATTATACTCAATAAAACACCCTTGTGACAAATTTTCGAATAGTCGAGCGTTACTGTCCTCCGACAGTTCTTGTTAAAAAGTCTTTTAAAAAACCAAAAGAGCTAGAGCTTAAATATTTGGCATGAAACATTGTCTGATGAGTGTCTACCAAATTTGTTTAAATAAAAGCCCTGGGGTCAAAATTGGCCCCACCCCGGGGGTCATTGATTTTCCTTATATGTATATAGTAAAAACTTTAAAAAAATTCTTTTAAAAATTCCGGAAGAGCTAGAGCTTAAATATTTGGCACGAAACATCTTCTAGTAAGTCTCTATCAAGTTTGTTCAAATGAAAGCCCTGGGGTCAAAATTGTCCCCCCCCCCCTTGGGGGTGGGGGTCATTTCTTTGGGCATTGCTTTTTATGCCCCCGCCATGTAATGGCCTGGGCATATATGTAATGGCCGGGGCATATAGTGTTACCCTGTTCCGTCCTTCCGTCATTCTGTCATTCCGTCATCATCAGTTTCCGTTCATTATCTTAAGGACAGTACAACTTCAACTCAAATTTGACATATGGATATGTCATGAGAAAATACAGGTCAAGTTCGAATTTAGTCATGTTTCATTGATTTTTGGCAGAGTTATGCCCCTTTTACTTTGAAAATAATATGAAATTTCAGTTTCCGTTCATTATCTTCCCAACAGTACAACACATTCAACTCAAAATTGACATATGGATGTGTCATGAGAAAATACAGGTCAAGTTCAAATTTGGTCATTGTTCGATGATTTTTGGCAGAGTTATGCCCCTTTTACTTTGAAAATAATATGAAATTTTCAGTTTCCGTTCATTATCTCCCCAACGGTACAACACATTCAACTCAAACTTGACATATGGATGCGTCAAAGGAATGCGCAGGTCAAGTTCAAATTTGGTCATGGTTCAATATTTTGATTTTTTCACTTTGGCAATAGAGTTATGCCCCTTTCACTTTGAATATGGATGCGTAAAGGAATATGAAATTTTCAGTTTCCGTTTATTACTTTGAATGTAATATGAAATTTCTCCCCAATGGTACAACACATTCAACTCAAATTTGACATATGGATATGTTTTTGGAATGCCCAGGCCAAGTTTGAATTTGGTCATGGTTCAATGATTTTTGGCAGAGTATTGCCCCTTTCACTTTGAAAATAATATGAAATTTACAGTTTCTGTTCATTATCTACCCAACAGTGTTACATATTCAACTTAAATTTGACATATGGATATGTCAAAGGAATGGGCAGGTCAAGTTGGAATTTGGTCATGGTTTGATGATTTTTTGGCAGAGTTATGTCCCTTTCACTTTGAAAATAATATAGATACATCTTAGGAATAAGCAGTTTAAGTTTGAATTTGGTCGTGGTTCAATGATTTTGGACAAACTTATCTTTTCTGAATGTTGGAAAAATTTTGAACTTTCAGTTTCAGCACTCCTACTTTAAGCCATTATTTTGGCTACAAATATGCAATATGCTATTTTTAAAAGGTTAAGACTGAATAATTTCAGTGCCTTGAACATTGTATGAAAATGGTTTGTGTTAACATTGAAAAGTTTTAAGGGTTTTGAACTTAAAATGAAAAAAATAATAAATGCACCATCTGAAATTTGGGCTGCATGTGGGGGCATCCGTGGCATGATGACACATTTCTAGTCCTTAAATTTATATAGTAAAAACTTAAAAAAAAAATTCTTTTAAAAAACCCTTAAGAGCAAGAGCTTAAATATTTAGCATGAAACACCTTCTAGTGATCTTTTTCTTTTAATGTTTAAGAAATAATAATATTCCGCGAATTCATCAATCAGCCCTCGTATATATTGAACTTTTGAGCTAACCACAATGTGCTCATGTTGAGCTTTTACAAGGCTTTGATATTTGGTATAATATTCTTATTATCTGTAGGTTCTCTAATTTTGGCCCCACACCGCGTGTCATAGCTTTTGCTTATGTATTTAGTATAAACTTAAATTGCTTATGTATTTAGTATAAACTTGAAAATCTTTTCTGAATTGACAAAGGCTAGAGGTTAGATATTTGGCATAAAACATTGTGTTGTGGGAGGTCCACAAGATTATCAAGATTGTTCAAATTATAGCCCTTGGGCAGAAAGGGTCAAAATTGGCTCGGGCCGGAGGAGGGGGGTCTCATAGGTTTCCATATATCAAATATGTATACAGTAAAATCTTAAATTCTTCTTGTCTGAAGGTAGAGCTTTGATAATTGGTATATTATATCATCTATAGGTCATCTACCAAAGTTAGTCAAATTTGGCCCTGCTCTTTAGG